CTCCTCTCCAAAAAACCACCCATGCCATCGTCTACGCTGAATTTGAGTCCACGCTCTTAAGAAAAGTAATACATGAGGAAATATAAAACAAAAATGACTCTGTACACATGTGGTCTCATAATCAAGTCCCCAAAAGACCAAAGAGCACATTCATAGAGTCTGGTCACAGACTGTTTTCCTATATTTACCCGCTCTGAATATAAAGTCAAATTCGATGAATATAAGCCCTGTATTTACATTTGCTATTCAAGCATTGCTCTAAACTCACCTCATACACAGCAAGATCGATGCCTGCATACGGTATGATCCCTAACAAGTTGGGAACATAGCCTTTGTAAAAAGCCCCAAACCCTTCATGTTTCAAAATCTTCTTGGCACAGCCATATATTCCAGAATATTGTCCAGTTTTGGCTACAGCCAGTCTGGTTTTCAAAACCTAGATACAAAGGAATATAACACAATATCAACAAGATAATCTACTGGTATCATAATAAAATCCATTGATAAGGGTGGTAAGGGAAATGGTGCTGTAAAGGATAATGCCAGGGTCTCCAGCTTGGAGCATAGGATAGGAGAGGAAGGGAGGTAGGAATGTGAGGGTATTCATTGAAATGAAGGATATGAAAGAAAAAAATGAGTACTGAATTAGAATCCTATTTTGAGGAATGTTTGGGGCAATATAAGCAATCTCCAGGGGCTGGGGAGTAGCTCAGTCTATAAAGTGTCTGCAGCAGAATCATGAGGAACTGAGCTTGATCCCCAGAACACACATAAAACTGGGTATTGAATGAGGAGCCTTTGCTGAGGGGTGTGTGAGGGAATATAAGCAATCTCTAGGGACTTGGTGACTCTGTCTATAAAGTGCTTGCAACACAAGCATGACGACCTGAGTTCAAGCCCCAAAACACACACAAAATGCTAGGCATGGTGGTGGGTGCTTGTAATCCCAGCACTAGGGAGAGAGAGACAGGCAGATCTCTGGGGCTTGCTGGTCAGTCAACCTAGCCTACGGAAGATGCGCTCCAGGCCACTGAGAGACTCTGTCTCAAAAAACAGGGTGCGGGGCTGGAGAGATGGCTCGGCAGTTAAGAACACTGATTGTTCGAATCCCAGCACCCACATGGCAGCTAACAACTGTCTGTAACTCCAGTCCCAGTGGATTTGACAGCCTTTTCTGTTT